TTCTACTACCCTCTCCATGCTGGTCCAGAGTATATAGTTCACCTTGTTACTCATTTTACTAGTTTCTGTTAGTATTGTATTGTGTTTGCAAACTCAAGAAGAATGTGATGCTGTCCATTGCTAGCTTTATGGTATTTATGTATGGAATGATTATGGCTCCTCTGATTATGTCCTAAATGAGCGTATACCTGTATTTTGTATTACCTTTGGATTGGGGGGGGGGCTGAGATTTATTCCTCTGGGCTATATGTCTTGGCGTGATCCTATTTGTGTTATATGTTCTGCTCCTGTGGATTTGCCTGCATACATTTTTATATCTCATAATGTCGTCATGCCCTCTCCCAAGTTTTTTATGTGGCATGTCCGTGGTATGAGGGCTCGGCCTAAGCGAACTGCAGTTTTGCCTCACCTAAATTCTTTGAAGGTTGACGTGGCGGCCCTCGTGGAGACCCACATTACTGGTCAGCTCAAACTGGCCCTCAAAAAACCTTGGATTGGATGACTTTACCAGGCCCCTTACACCTGTAATTCATGTGTGGTGTTGCAATAATAATTGCTAAGACGATCCGTTTTCAGTTACTAACTTTGCAGGTGGTCCACAAGGCAGATTTCTTTTTTTACATACTATCCTGAATGATGTCGAAATGTTGATATTGGCCTACTATATCCCCCCTCCTTCCAGTTTGCTGTTTTTACTGAAGGCCTGATGTTTATTGCATATCACCCCAGTATCCCTGCAGTGTGGTTGGGGGATTTCAATATCATTATGGACCCTAGTATGGATAAACTGGATTACAACCCCTCTGTTCCCACCCCATGCTACTTGTTTCGGCAAACTGACGGAATTTGCGCTGGTGTACACCTGGAGATACTTGCACCCCACGTCTAAAGCTTACTCCTGTTTCTCTGCCTCTTACTCCTGTCTCGCATAGACTACATATTTATATCCAAATCACTGTTATCCAAGTTTGGGGAGGTGGGTTATGCCCTTTGGGCATTTTCAGATCATGCTCCCTACTGGATGAAACTTTACCAGCCCTTCTTCTTCGCGTCTACGTTTGGAAACTGAACCCCTTTTGGCTGACTGTCTTCCCGGATTTGGAGGACATGCAGGCCGATTGGGATTGTTTCCTCACTACTAATGAGGGATCGGACGATTTTGGATCTGTCTGGAGCTCCTTTAAACTGCATGCTCATGGCATTTTGGCGGCCCGCATTTCCAAATACAAATCTAGATCAGTTGTTCGACAGGTGGAGGAGCATTTACTTAACCTAGAACATTCTTTCCAGGCTAACCCTTCGGGTGAAGCCACTTCCCTTGTTAAGCTGCAGGCTCATCTGGTTAATCATCTGCTCTTTGAGAAGGCCAACCAGAATATTTTTTATAGCAGGCAGGGAATATTTGAGCATGGGGAATGAGCTGGTCGCCTTCTAGCATACCTGACACATTTGGATCTTCAACCCCACACTGTGATCTCTTTGCGAGACGTCTCAGGTGCCTGCATTACTGATCTGGACTTCGTAGCAGGGGAGTTTTGAAACTTTTTTTCCACTCTCTACTCCTCCACGGTTCATGACTCTCATGCTGAGCTGATCGAATTCTTACAGACCATACTGTTTCCTACCCTTACCCCTTCTCAAATTGCTAACCTGGAGGCTCCCATTTCTACGGAAGGTATTACTGAAGCTATGGCTCACTTATCCCCCTCTAGAGCACAAGGCTCTGATGGACTCCCTTTGGAATTTTACACATTTTTTCAGGACTCTCTTATCCCTCGCTTATACTCTATGGGAATGTTTACGCAAATTCGGCTTTGGGCCCAAATTTCTCAAATGGCTCAGACTGCTTTATCATGCTCCTACAGCTAGGGTGTTGGTTGGTGGTTGGGTGTCTAATTCCTTTCCCGTTTCTAGAGGTACGCGTCGGGGTTGCCCCCTTTCCCCTTTATTATACGCGCCGACCATGGAGCCCCTAGCCATAGCAATTGGTTCATATCCTGATATTTGTGGCCTGTGCTCTGGTCTGCTAACCAAGACTGTGAGTTTGTATGCGGATGACATGCTTTTGTATCTGGAGGATGCGGGCCCTCGCTCGGGGCTGCACTCGACCATATAGAAGAATTCAGATGCTTTTCCGGGCTTCAGATAAATTGGGGGAAGTCCCAGATTCTCCCTTTAGATTTTGGTGTTCCTACTAGGGAACAGGCCGCTCTCCCTCTAGTCAGCACTATTACTTATCTTGGGATTGTGGTTTCTCGTGACACCAAGGATTATCTTCAGCTCAATTTAGAACCCCTGTACCCTATGTTGAAGTCAAAATTGCAAGCCTGGTCTTGTCTCCCCCTCGGGGTCATATGACAAGTTCATTTGATTAAGATGGTGCTCCTTACCAAACTTCTTTATATTTTTTGGCATGCACCCATATATTTACCATTGCGGGTATTTAAATCTCTTGACTCTATGCTTAATTCTTTTGTGTGGGGCAACATGCGACAAACTCATGGCGTGCTCTTAAAAATCCCACGCACCTGAGGGGTACAGCACTCCCGGATATCAATCTTTATTATTTGGCGGCCCAATTGTCTAATTTTTTTATTTAGATAAGGGGGGGGCAAGGATAGATATCTTGCATTGGTGTGTGCTCTGGCCTTTTCTTGGGCCTTTCAACTGTTATTAAAGGGCATGCGAGACCCCTCAATTATGGGTTGCCGAAGGGGATTACTGTATCATCATTGTAAGATTTGGCCTCTAGTAAGCTACACATTCCACACATTCACGCTCATACCCCCCTGTGGGAAAACCCGAACCTCCCTGAATTGCTCACCCTTCCTGACTTTTGTTTATGGATCAATAGGGGGATTTTGTATGTCTCCCAGATGTTGTGCTGGTGTCAAAACCTTTCAGGACCTCAAAATGCAATATAACCTCCCCAAATGTCATGCTTTTTCATTTTCTCCAGCTCTGCCATGCACTGCGTGCCCAATTTGGTGACTCAGTTTTGGAGCTTGACTCTACCTATCTCATGGACGTCATTTTGGGTACGGAGTCCAAAAAACTTACATACACATTTTATAATGCTCTACTTTTACCTTCTGCATCAATATTGCCATATCGACTTAAAACCCACTGGGAAGTGGGGACGTGGGGGAGCTGGATGGTGAAATGTGGGAGGGAGGGCTTTCCTCGACCAAGACTGTCTCCCCGCAATTGTCGGATCGCCTCACTCAACTATAAAGAATACATAGAACCTATTTAGACAACCTATTTGGTTGTCTAAATACAGTCCACAGTATAGTCCACTTCATTGGCGGACTGACAACTCATGGGGCCCCTGTGTCCTTGCCCAAACTCAAAAAGCCTATGAAAAAGGTACCAGGGGCATCTCATGGGCCCCCCCACTGACCCCGGGCCCTCGGGCAGTGCCCGAGTTTCCAAATGGTCAGTCCACCCCTGATCCACTTTGTCCTGAGTGTGGGGACACTGATAGTACTATTTTTCACTTAATATGGTCTTGCCCTCTCATTCAGGGCTACTGGTCTCAGGTGGTCCGATTTCTCCATGATAAAATGGGCTCTCCCCTCACCCTCTGCCCTAAACAGTGTTTACTTGGTCTTCTCCTTAGTTCGGAAACTGACAAATTTCAAACTTTTTCTGCAAGAAACTTTGTGGCTACATTATTGCTTGCTTGTACGTGGCTGCAGGCATTGCCGCCTACATTTTCACAGTGGGTTGCTGCAATAAACAGCACCTTACCATATAAGAAGGTTATTTATGTACATATGATATAACTGAATGTTAGTGGTGTACTCATTTCCCATAATTTGTACCCATCTTTGGGATTTGTTTTGCTTAGTATGTTTTGGACGGACTGTGTGACCCCTCCAAAGGGAGAGATAACACGGCCAACATATACAGTTAACATCACAGATAACTTTTATATGTATTTTTTTACACTATGGTTTTACTATTCCCTGCAGGGTATTGTAACATGGTACCATGCATATCATCACGCTGTGCTAAAATGTTCACTTTTTTTTGGCACACAGAAAATTATGGATGTGAACTAAAACAATGTGACATAAGGTTGTCTTGTCTTTCATTGGACAATGCAATTTAATGCTGCTGTGTGCAGGAACCCTTATACCACCAATTATTGCATGAGTTTAATGGCTTATGATGGACTTTTCTTTCTCTGTTCTCTTCATCTGCCATATTTTTCTAACTCGGTCACTTAGAGCATATACTTAAGGTCAAACCTCAAAATATGGTATAGGGAGGGTGATCAATCTTCATCATGGCAAATAACAGGACTCTGGGCTACAGAGTGGTCATCATCTGTCAGTAATCCAAGAATAGAAGCAGTTTCACACGATCTGAATAGCACATTTTTAGAAAGTAACACTGGAGATGTTTAACACTTAAAGTTTAATAGGTAGATGATGCATATAAAATGATAAAATGAACATATCCTTTAAAGAGAAACTCCAGGCAACAAGTCAAATTAATAAGCGAGTTTTATTTGGCCCAATTGATACTGCTCCAACATCCTAATATGTACTGTAGGGTAGGACTGAGCTCCCTATTCCATAATTAGGTATTGTGAAATTTCCAATCACTTTGATCCCAAGTAAGGATTTTAGGGGGAATGGAGTCATGAACACACGGCCTGCATTATTATTATTATTTTTTTTTTTTTAAACAAAAGCCAGCAGCTGGTGTTCCTAGAATGCCAGATTGCTGCTAACGAGCTTTTTCTTTTTTAAGCAACAGGCCTTACCTCGCATGTGGTTCACGGATTTTTTTTTTTTTTTATTTAATTGGATTGTACCTCAATAAATATTTGCAATTGTCAGCTGTCCTATAAAACATTACCTTTCCTCCACATAGAGCCCTCAAAAACCCTGTGAATGTGTATATAGCATTCAGCTTCTTTGAAGCCATATTCTATCAGCACCAAGATTGCTCTTTCGTAAAATTATGTTAGCAACTATAAAGGACTTCTACAAAGAGAATATACTCCTGTTAACATTGAATATCTTAATGCCATGATCTGCTCCACAGCTTGCCAGCTGCAACCACTCAGCATTGTCCAGATCATCATGTCCAGCACGACCCGGTTTGCTTCTCCAACAGAGTTGCTTGACAGTAAGAGTGTGACAAAGGCTAAAAGAGATATAACAGAATAAGGAGAGGATCGGTGTGACAACAGTAAAATGTCAGACTCAGCTGGGCTGCAAGATTCAAATACCATCTTACATCTAATTAGTGTACTTTATCTCACTACTGCCAACTGAGAGAAATTGACTTGTCACAACCTGCAGGTATTAAATATGCTGAAATTGCCAGGGTTATTAACAACATTAATGACATTTTATCCCTTCTCTTGTCAATAATTTAAACTGCAAACTCATCATCAATTTTAAATTTCTACACATTAGTGTCAGGTCACACATCTCAATTATAGTCTAATGATTTTTGGGGATGCTTCTCTGCTTGTTCTTTTAAACTAATTTGCCCTTGTACGAATGAAACTCCAAATTTAGGAGAAAATAGAAACACCCATATTTGCAAATGTTATATATGTTAACAGGAAAAGAATACCTAATTCTCATGCTCAGATATTCAATTGAAAATTTATTTTCACACTAAATGCAAAGTAACAAATATCAGGCCATCATATCGATAAATCACTAAACTATAAAATAATGCAGGCATAATTAATACATTTGTTTTGTGATATACATTAAAAAAAAAAAAAAAAAAAAAAAAAAGGGAGTGACAGATGTAATGAAGTTGTCAAAACCTACTTGTGGCAGGTTTCCTTGTTGTCGGTGTATGCTGCAGCTAAGTCTTGTCTTGTGCAATAGTAAGATAGCGTGCATTTCTTACAAAGATAAAGGTAATGCATAGTGCTTTGTACAGATTTTCCCTCTTTATTGCGCTCAGAAGGAAAGTAAATGTTTTTTCTTTTTAGTCAGAAGTGTAATATTGCATAAGAATATTAATTAGCTTTTTACCCAGCTCCTTTGAAGCCATAGGCTTCTTTATTTTTTCTATCTCCACATACTACATAAAACAGCAGCTTACAGAGATCGATAGATCAAGGAAAATTTTATGGACAAACCTGCAGTTGCCAGAGCAATTCCTTAAAGCAAACATTTCCTGAGAGACACATGGGGATGCTGCTACCAATACTCTTCTGAAGATGCTAATTTTCAGAGCAACTGGGATCTCTGACCTGAAACAAGTATGCAAATCTATAAAGTCAGAAATCCTTATTTGTATGTTTGTTCCAGGTAAGAGACACAAAGTAATGACAGTCAGGAAACTAGCATTTTCAGAAGTATCAATGACAGCCTTTATGAGTCTCTGAAGGAAGGTTTCCAGACATCTCGGAATAAAGCTCAAGGAAAACAACAGAGATCTTCTTCTACCAGATATATTCATACAAGTTCAGAACATATACCAGATGCTCTCATAGCTTTCACATTGGTCTAATGCATGTGTGCTATAAATATGATTCTAACTATTCCAGAACCAATATTAAGGTCTCTATAGTCTGAGGAGTCTTTTCTTCATGCATAATCAGAGAAATTCCCCTTGGCACGGGAACAATTTGACCCTAAAAATGGATATCTATGGTGGCTATTATTAAAACCACCGTCAAGGGCTAGATTGTTCAGGAATTTGGTTTAAAGTAGAAGTCCGGCCCAAAGAGCTATGTAAGCTTAAACCTACTCGCACCTCCATTCTAAGCCCTATGCTATCTACCCTGTAAAGGAAAGAGGTGCAAACTAACGTAATCCAAGGGTGGTCCAGTAATGTGATGCGCCCCCCTTCCCTAGCAGCCAGCTTCAGTGAAGTCAAGAGAGAGCAGCAATGATGGCTGCAGAGCCCGGATGGCGACATCACCCACAGACTTACCATGGGGCATCTGTTATCCACTGTCCTTTCTCTCAATTGAAGTCGGCGCTGGGATCCAATCATGTGACTGGACCTGAGTGCCCTTAGATTAGGTGAGTATATACATCTTTGCTTTACAGGGTAGCTAGTATAGGGCTTGAAATGGGGGGGTGAGAGCAATTTTAAGCTTGGGTGGCTTTTGACCGAACTTCTACTTCTACTATATGCTGACTAGCCAAATTTTGTGATTTTTTTTTTTTTTTTTTTAATTAAAATTGAAAAAATCATGGTTTAGAAAGTTGAATAGATTGCTTCAGATGAACCAAACTTATGAACAATCTCTGATTAGCTTGAGGCTTCCAAAGATCAGAGGCTTGGGAGGAACAAGCAAAGCTAAAAAAAAAATGTCCCAACCACGTGCCTAAAACAATACTCATCAAAACTAAGCTGTGGGAAGGCCACGAATGTTATAGAGGGTGCTCAAATCATGTATGCATGTCCCACTGAATTTAAAATGATGAAAATAAATGTGTTTTGGTTACTTTTGTAAAAGTTTGTGTAAGACAAAGCAAAAGACTTTAATGTTGCTTCATGACACATGTCGTGTTTCTGACACACGATAGAAACTAACCTTTGATCCATCTCATGACTTTTTGTCCAGTCATTTTCTGTAACACCACTTTGCCATTTGTACAGAAGAATCTTCCCACATTCTAATCCAACAGCAATAATATAACTGTAAAAAATAGATCTGTTTTATTTAACACATCGGAACATGCTATTAAGAATATTTCATTAAAATAGAAAAAAAATCAAACTTTCATAAAAAAAAAAAAAAAAAAAAACAACAACTTTGTGGAATAAAGTAAACTACTATTTCCCAGCCCTGGCTTTAATAAGCATAGGTTACCAATTTCATCTCTCCTGTACTAGAATCCACATATTGATTGGCATCTTCCCCATCATCAGCATTTGCTTAACTAAATAACTAGGCTTTTAGGTACATGAGTAATACCAGGGGTGAACTTGGAGCAACATTTTCTCCAAGAAAGGCAATTCAACTCTTCCCCTCTAGGCAATCCCCGCCCCCCCCCCCCCACACACACACACACACACACACACACACACCTCAATGATGCACACTTTTCCAAAGGGCTGAGTGTGGGGCCTCTATTCTCTTCCATTGTGTGTAGTAAAATTGGGGTGACGATCTTAGACCTCACTGACCAAAGAACTGGGATGGCCTGCTTTCCTACCAAGCAAGACTGAACCCAGACAAGCAGAAAAATGCCTAACCACTAATGAAAAGGCAACCCTCTTTCATTGTTTGTGGTAATGTACATGCTGGAATACTAAAAGCCTAAAAGGTCCTTACTAATCAGGCTGACTATACATGTTGAATCTATGCAAATGTAATACTCTGGGAATGCGTGACACTATAACCTCTAACTGTAGAATTAGTTTACATGCTTAGTATTTTGTGTTCTAAGCAAAGATCACATTAGTGTGTACTATGTCCTAAATTTAAAATAGGTCCTACCAAGTAGGATCACATATTCTATAAGCTTGCTGAGGGGCTATGGTGGTAACACAACTGTGGTCTCCAAGAAAGCAGAATAAGAAATGCGTGTTTCACCATCCTATAGAACTACATTCAGAAAGCTGATATTTGTCTTATTTGTCTCCTCACCAGAGGCACGTTCATAACCTTTCTACAATACCCTTTGTGTTTATATGCTGGGAATGACTCAAGTATTAGCATAAGTGACAGATTCTCTTTAAATCCATCTACTATGAAAAAACATTATCCATGTGCCTCAAAACTAAGGCAAACTTTTGGGAAAGGATGTCACAGAAAACAAGAAGTGCAAACCATACACACTGTCAGGAAGGGCATGCCATAAGACAAGATGGCTCCCTTGGGTAGATTGCTGTTCATGGCTCTTCACATGCATAAGTTTATACCCACGTGCTTGTGCATCGGCGTGCATAGGAATGCGCATAGATGTGTGAGAGTTCACAAACTGTGACAGATGTTGATGTCAAATGGAGTATTTAAACTGGGCCAGTACTCAGGATCAGTGTTGTCTTGTCTACATCATTCCCGTGCAAACCTGTAACCTGTTACTATGCATCTATCTCCAGTTATTGACTCAACTTGCCTTGACTACTCCCGAACTACACCTGCACTGGCCGTGGCTTTCCCCTGACCTCTGCTTCTACCTGTGTCTTTTGCTGATACTTTGTTACTGACCTGACTGTACTGTGACTTTGCTCCTGCTTTTGCATCTGTACCTGATCTGTCTGCCCGTGTATGACCCGACTCATCTGACCCGGTCATCAGTGGATTTCCATGCTGCAGCATCTACTGGTTATTCATCAGTGCCTGTTCTCCATCTGCCTGCTACCTGCCTGTGGCTCACCTGTCCACTGTTGCCTTTGCAAGCCAGATCCTGTCTACTGCTCATTGGCTGCTACCCGGCATCTCTGCTTGCTGTGATTCACTAATGACCATCTGCTGCTTGTCCAGGCGATCCTGTTCAGCCCTGCTGCTAGCAAAACCATCAGGCACTCATGCCACTCTGCACTCCTGAGCTACCGGTCTACTCTATCAGGGGCCCTGAGTCAGACGTGTAAGAGAGGCTTTCCTTCCTCATCATATCTGTCTCTTCTATCAGGTACGTGACATACACACTCTTACCTTCCAAGAGAAGCAAGTACTTTGTTTACACCAACAGCTGTGACAGAGTCTCCCGCATCGAGAAGAGTAGAGCAAGGCTTGACAGAAGCACAGCTGTGGTCATCCTGAGTGTCAAACACCTGACAGTCACCCCACACGATAACCTGAAAGACATTTTTGGAGAATCTTTAGATTTAAGGAATAAGGACATTTTAATTTCTTGCTACTGAAAGTTTTAAATACATGCCAACATTGATTACAGTGTGCTGCAAATTAAGGCACTGTTAACAAGTGGTTAGATCTCTCAGTATGGAGAGAGAACATTTACCTGTGAAGCTTCAGCCAAAGCATTTCCATGCAACAAGGGAACCCAATCAGTGAACCAATTATGATATCCAGCACAGTGCAACATTCAGAAGTTCCAGATAGCACACCCAATGTTCCCTAATGTTTATCTAAAGGCCAAATTTGAATTTTAGATTTGGATGGAGTGGTGAGAATCTCTGTTAGGCCTTTGTTGAGGCATGTTTCACCGCTTGGGATATTCCCCCTTATTTGTCAGGTGACCACTGTCAATGTGACAAAGAGCTGAGAGACCTTGTAATAGAGATGAAATTCTCAGACTAGGACATTTGTTAGGGTGACAAATGTCTAAAAGGAGATTTCCAAAGTTTTTAAAGAGCTTTCCTCTCACTTACTATTCTGTCCAAGACTGGAAGTAATGAGAAATCTCAACAGTAGAAAGATGGGTAAAAAAAAAAAAAAAAAGTGCTGAAGATTAATACAGTGTTGTGGAGACCCAGGATTTAGCTTTACGGTCTGGCATGGAAGCCTGGGCCACAAAACTGGCTGAACAAAATTACAGCCCTCCAGCTAGGAAAAAGGTGGTGATATATACAGTATATATCTGCTTGCCTGGAATCTAGCAAAGTGTAGCAAAAAGTTAAAAAAATTACTGCAACATCTACATTAGGTGGTTACTGCCTTTCATGCTAGAGAATAATCATTAATTAAAAGGTTATCATTACCTTTAAATCAAAAGTAACCAGAAGCACAGAGGTACACAAAAATCTACATACTGAGTACTGAAGAAAAGGTACCAGTTGCATCTTAGCCCTGGTTCCCACTGATGCAATTTCTGAAGCATTCCAGAAAGCATGGAATTGCATGACAAGTGAAGGTTTCTATGGAGACCATTTACATCAATGCAATGCGATTCCAATGCGATTTAAAAAAGGGTCCTGTGTGAGTTTAGTGCAGTATGATGCAATTTGTAGCTATATAGTCTTGAATGGAAGCCGCTTATCTGTCCTAAGATAACACAATTCCAGTGCATTTTCTGTAAGTCTGTTTTGTTTCTTATTTCCCATCACTGGTCCATGTCAGGAGAGAGACAGAAAGAAAGGGAGACAGAGACTGCCAAATCACACCAGAATCAGAACAGCTGAACTACAACTTGAAATCGCACTGAAACTGGCAGGGAAAAAAATCGCATAACATCTTTGTGAACCTAGCCTTAATGTTGTGAACAATAAATATGGGAAATTTGGGGCTCGGTTACAAAGCAAAGGGAAGGAAAAAGATAATATTGCCCATTATATTGGCACTAGAAATATGCCAGCTCCAATATCTTTGGATGATATCGGCAAAACAGAAATCCTTTTTTTCTTCCAGTTGTGTTACTTTTTTATAAAGTGGATGCATGTACACAATTTCATTACAGAACTAACATTTCTAACTGGAAAAATATGATAAATTCTTGCTACTTGGATCTCTGGAGCCATTAATTGTTTTTTTTAAGGAAAATGCTCATTTACATTCATTAGTGTCAGATACATACCTTCTTGTCTCTGCTTCCTGTAACAAAAAACTTGCTGTCTGGAGTCCAGTCACATGACCAGATTATTCGACTATGTACAGATGTATCTTTGTTGGTGCTGGCTTGTAATATGAAATGCGGATCAGCTTTAGGGAAAAAAAGAAGCCTAATCAAAGTCAGAATCATAATACATTTCTATGTGTATAATATGTTAAACAACTCAAGCTGAATAATATGTTAAACAAGTCAAGCTGAAGAGACCCATACTAATGTTAGTATTCCTATTTCATATTCTTGCACAGGCCAAGGTTTGACTATTTATCTTTAAATTTCTCATGGTGCCTTGTTTGCAAGGGATAACAAACCCAGAGTACTTGAAAAGTATAAAATGATTATTGAAAAGTTTTTTCACAACACCACCATTTTAAAAAGACGTCTGCAACAATTAGGTTTTCATCAGGTACTTCATTTAAACCAAGTTCGAATTCTGTGGAATGTAGAGATGAACAACTGAAGTAGAACAAGATTTAATGCGAACTGGCCAAATCTGAAAATCAAGAATGGGAAAGATACACTGATATATAGGAGAACTGCTATGTGGTTTCTGATAAAACCAAGCTCTAATCTGAAAAAAGCAATAAAAAAAAAATTAAGGTTTTTGCACTTTGTACTGTAATTTTTTTTTGTATTCCTTTGAGGGACACAGGAATTTTGTAATTCTTAGTCATCGATTAGTGACGGATAAATTATAATTTATGTGGGTGTGGATGGAAGAAAGTCTGTGTCATGTGAGGTTGACGGGTTGATGACTACACACGCTTCAGGTTCTTCCTCACTTGACTCAACCACGAAGGATTCTGGTGCTTTAGGAATTGGTAGCCCCCTCTCCATGAGGAACTGGACGTATTGCCGATGGAATATTTGGATAGTGCACAGATAACGGTTTCTTCTTATTTAGCCCTTTTACAATTGGAGGCACCATACAAAAGTAACAATTACTAACATGATCTGTTGGCTCTCTCCAAATCATTGGCACAGTGAAAGGCATAGATGCCTTTTTTTCCATTCAACCATTGCTCCAGTGCCGTCCCACAAGAATTGCAGCATATATGTGGTGCCCAGCTCTTGTCCTGGTCTCCTATCTTGCAGCCAAAATACAAGTTGTAGGCTTTCTTAATCATTCCTGTTATCCTCCTTTTTTGTGAGATAAAAGTTATTTCACCGCAGATATAGCAGAAATTATCTGCTTTATTCACACAAGTTCGAGGCATTACTGAGTAGCCTATATAAGCATAAAACGAAATGTAAAGACGCTGTCGAACTACAATCAGCTACAGATACTGCAGCTTTTATGCAGTGAAGTGATGCAATTAAAGGCTAATATTGCATCATCTCAGTATACATGCAAATTTTCTATTGGTCACCAGTATCAATTGCGCAATATGCAGCTGAAGTTGCATCATAATTTTGAATGGCTTACGTCATTAGATGGGTGAATATATCATGGAAACTAGAGCCAATCAACATTTTTTAGGGTCATTTTCGTTTTTAGCACCCCAAAATTATGTAAGATTAGCTAATTTTATGCCCAAAACTTTTTACCTGTTGAACAGTGTTATTCAACTTCTTCCCATAGAGAGGATATTGCACACTCTACTAAAGTGCAGTGGGCATCTGCTAAAAAGCTGTCTGTTCTAAAGAATCAGACCTTAAGAGTAGAACAATGGATACATTCAGTTAGAAAAAATATTACAAAGATAAAAGAAAAAAGAGAAAAGTGAATAATTGCCTCCCTATCTAAAACCATCAATAGAAACAAGGGATCTAGAGATTAAACGCTTTTTTAAACCAGGGTACATTTTGCAGTGGTGAATCAGTGTCCTTTATTTAGCCAGTGCCGTTTATGAACAGCACTAGATATATAGTCATTGGGTAGCATATCCACCAGTGATCACTGTGTACTGAGTTGTCTTTAGACTGCAGGGTTCATAGAAACATCCAAGGGGATCCCCTGCACATACTATCTGCAATACATTCCCATGTGGCTTGTATATTAACTGCTAACCTCACTTATCCTGTACATTGGAACATTAACCCCTTCATTTCCATAAAGTCACTGTAAGTGACCATTACATTAACCTGTTCACTGCTTCCTTCCAATGTGTATGACCTGTACATTAATGTATCTAGTATACCATTCTCAAGCGCTGCGTTTCTTCATTTCCCCAAAAAATTGTATCAAAAAAGTAGATTACCTTGGGGTGTTTACTTTCCAAAAACATCACAGGAGTTTTTATATACTATTCTGGTGTTTGTATTTTAACAGAAAGTAAGGAAAACATGTTTTTTTTTCCCCCCAATTTTTTTTTTGCATTTTTATAGTAAACAAATTACAAACCCTGTGGTTATGAAATACCTCCAAAAAAGCTCTGTCTCAAAAAATGATATAAAATTAATTTGGGTACAGTGTTGCTTGATAAAGCAATTGTCAAACAATCACAGCACTGAAAACGTGGACTATTAACGAAGGGGTATAACAGGCTGATACTCAACTAGTTAAGGACCATTTTTTGTGTATAGACCAAAATCCAGACTTTAAATCTCGAAATGAGGAGCAAATTAGTAAAGAATGACAGTACAAAATAAGTATTTTAATTAAGTTCCCATTAATCCCACAACCCCAAAAGGGGGTAAATGAGACAGTGACTGAGAGTAGAGATGGGATGACACTAAATGTAATAAGAACTGTTAGAAACTAGTGAGGATCTATTAAGCAATCCATGATGAGAAAGCTAGGAACACTGGTGTAATGTGTATGCCCAAAGAGACTCTCTACCCTCAAATGACAAATTGAATAAGGTGTTCTTTAAATGCAACTTCTACATTCTAAGCATAGTGCTTTATATGCATATGGACAGACATTACTGCCATGCATGCAAAAAAACTAATTTAGATGCTTCCAAGAGGCCAATACAGCTAAAGTGAAGGGTCTCCTGCACTCCTACAACTGTCAAAGAAACTGGAAATTGCAAAGGTTGTTTTCAGTAAACACATCAATTTAAAAGATGTGACCCATTGAGATATGGTTTCACAAAATAGAGTGCCTGCCAGAAGAGGACAGATAATTTTTACAGTTAACTCAAACTAGTATACAAATAAGGATTCAAACTGAGCATGTCTAATAAGGTGAAAGATGTGTCCACACGAGCTAGGGACCAATTGTAAAGGGAATTCCATATTCAAGGAAAAATGTTCATATGTTCAGGAGGAGGCCACAATAGCACATGAAGCTTTCCAGAAAGGATGCTACAGAGAAGACATTTGCGTCAGTGCATGCTACAGAAGATCTTCTATCTGATTCAGCAGATCACCCCCTTATATACATAGCATAACAAACTCTGTCAATCAGATTGGACAAAACATTGTCAAGTTTATCAATGACCCTGTTAAACATAGTCCCTACAAGAATAGGCTCTAAAAAAAAATCAAAAAATCAGAGATAGAATCCTTAGGTACACATCTGAATTGAAGATCCAGTAGAGTCAATGCCATGTGTTCCTGAAGAGGTATCTCTGCAACATAATGAACACCCATGAGCAGACTGCTCAATTAAACAGCCACAGACCAACTGTGAAGTAGACCTAAGAGGTCTGTTAGATCTAGTGCAGATAGCAGGCTAAGGCAGTGAAGCTACAGAATCATTTGACATGTTAAAACTATAGAAATAGATGTCCCAGGATCTAAAATACCAACACCAGTTACCTGTAAAGACATTGGTGAAGTTTTCCCTGAAACAGTTGGGGAAAAGGCAGGGAGATCACCCTATCAGTAGAAAACTGTCCTCCAAATGACTTAACAGTCATGCTGAACCAGCAGTAAGCAACAGTACCCCCAAAAAAAAAAAAAAAAAAAAAAGGCCCAGCGCACTCACAAGTACTGGTAAGGGTAGATGGAGGAGACCATCTCACTAAAAATGATCAAGAAAAAGATCAACCTGATTAGTCCACAATGTGCCTGAAGCAGCAGCTAGAGGAGAATCCTTTCTATGCTAAATGGCAGGAATACAAGGAGTGTACACAAACCCAGTACTGCCCCTAATGACTTATGTCAGCACTACAAGTATTCATACCCCTCGACATTTTCCACATTTTGTCATGTTACAACCAAAAACAATGTATTTTATTGGGATTTTATGTGATAGACCAACACAAAGTGGCACATAATTGTGAAGTGGAAGGAAAATGATAAATGGTTTTCAAAATTTTTTACAAATAAATATCTGAAAAGTGTGGCATTTACTTGTATTATGACCCCTTTACTCTAATATCCCTAACTAAAATCTAGTGGCAACAATTGCCTTCAGAAGTCACCTGATTAGTAAATAGAGTCCACCAGTGTGTGTAATTTAATCTCAGTATAAATACAGCTGTTCTGTGAAGCCCTCAGTTTTTTAGAGAACATTAGTGAACAAACAGCATCATGAAGAACAAGGAACACAGCAGACAGCTCAGGGATAAAGTTGTGGAGAAGTTTAAAGAAGGGTTAGGTTATAAAACAATGTCCCAAGCTTTGAACATCTCATAGAGCACTGTTCAATCCATCATCCAAAAATGGAGAATATGGCACAACTGCAAACCTACCAAGACATGCCCGTCCATCTAAACTAACAAGCCAGGCAAGGAGAGAGTTAATCACAGAAGCAGCCAAGAGGCCCTTGGTAGCTCTGGAAGAGCTGCAGAGCTCCAAAACTCAGGTGTGAGAATCTGTCCACAGGACAATTAGTCATGTACTCCAAAAATCTGGCTTTTATGAAGAGAGTGGAAAGAAGAAAGCCATAAGAAGTCCTGTTTTCAGTTGGGGACACAGCAAATATGTGGAAGAAGGTGCTCTGGTCAGATGAGACCAAAATGGAACTTTTTGGCCTAAAAGCAAAATGCTATGTGTGGCAGAAAACCAACAATGCACATCACCCTGAACACACCATCCCCACTGTGAAACATGGTGGTGGTAGCATCATGTTGTGGGGATGCTTTTCTTCAGCAGGGACAGGGAAGCTGATCTAAGTTGATGGGAAGATGGATGGAGCCAAATACAGGACAATCTTAGAAGAAAACCTGTTAGAGTCTGCAAAAGACTTCAGACT